ACCCGGCCAAGGTCAAACACCTTGTCAGGACCCCAGCACCGGCAAAAACCTCAATGCAATCGTAGACCTGGGCAGAGTGGCAGCGAGCGTGGTTCTATATATATATGGCATATGTGTAGTTATATACACATATAGAAATACAAACATGTTCACATTGTTGCATTGATCGTGCCGCTTGCCTCATGGACCTGCAGACCCTCCATGTAGCATAGATACACGATGCACATCATCAGCACCTTTGAAGCAACTGTATTGCATTGATGACGGGTGAGCCTATAGCTTACTCAAGCACAATGCAAAGCCCACAAATGCACATCAAGATGGGGCTCCTTAGGCGCATCAAGTTTGAGAAGCTCGTGGAGGAGTCGCATGAGGGCTTCCCGAGGCATCAACATGTTCCCAAATCGGACGAGGCTGCGTGAAGCAACGTGGAAGCCAAACAAATTAGATACATGCATGCATGAGTGTCACTTTTACACAACAATGTGTTCCTGGCCCATGGAAACATGCGTGCTCACTGTTGCCCCAGCTACATTGCGAGCATTTCCAAATGCCACAGACAACTGCATGCATGGTAGTGAAGTGACACTCCAAACTGCCAAGCGATTGAAAGACTTCCTGAAGAACTCCATGCACACGCAACGCAGGGTCTAAACCTTAAAGAACGTCAGGGCGGAGAGGCACCTTTGCTCTTCTTCACGCAACGGCGTCGAAGTCGATAGGCAGCGCTCATCGACTTTGGACCTGCCATCAGTCAGGCTCTTAAGAACCTATAGGACTGACAACTGAGCGGGGGCTGGGGCTGATTTGCAGGCTGGGCTTCGGTGCACTTTTCTCAGCTCTCAAGCTTTGAGTCTCCCTAGTTGGCAGATTCTGTGGTTCACTAGCTTCACAGTCATTCCACCACACAGCGAAGTGTCAAACAGTCGTACCCAAGCGCACACGCGAGATCCGCATTCACATGTCTTGCAAATGCTTTTCCACATAACATTTAAACCATACAATATATGTAAGAGCAGCGCGTACTGTCATGTAAAAAACTGAAAGGAATGGGATTCCCACCTGTGGCACAGAACGCTAAACCCCGTATCAATGGCAAGGCTTTCCCTACCAAAAAAGTTTACTCCACCCTCACTCAAGCCGCAGCTCTGGCCAAGGCATCGAGCACTGTCGTCAAATCCGTGAATGAGCCGTTCCTTGGGAGGACTGCCGATGGTAGGGTGAAAGGCAAAAAGGCTGAAATCTTGGCCTGGTTATGCATGCAAACCTTTTTGACATATAGTTTTACATGACCATCAGAAAAGAACACTCTGCACTTGTGAATACAATATCCAACACTGCCAACGCAAAGGCGAGTTTCCTGGACGCTCATGTTCAGCGGGTTTGAGCTACTAGGTCGCCTTTGTCCCCTTAAGGACCTTTTGCTTTGGTGCTTTCTTGGGTTTCTTTACCTGCTTGCTTGACGCACCAGACTCAGTAGCCTCCTGCATCTCCTGACGCAGCATAGCTGCAGTTTTGCCCCTAAATTTTTCTTTGGTGCAGGATTTGCAGCCTCCATAAATGAACCTGCAGTTGGTGCATCCAAAGACCTGGTCAGGCAAAACCTCATATCGCCAACCTTTTCCCTCACCAATTCGTGATTGGAAAGGCTTGGCTGACTCTGCAGGAGCCTGTTCCTCACCATTTGCCCTGCCACGCTTTCGTTTCTTTCCATTGTCAGATTGGCTCCCAGCAGTAGGCTTCTCAGCCTTGGGCTGGGCCACTTTCTTGGGAGAAGCTTTCTTCAGCACATCACGTTTGCTTTTCTTGCGTTTCAGCGTGGTTTTCTTCACTGCCTTCTTACTCTTTTCCCCCTTTGCCTGTTTACCCTTCCCCTTAGCTTTCCTTCCCCTCTTGAGACCTTTGCGTTGCACAGCCCGCATGTCTGACTGCATGGTCGGCGAAACCAAAGTTGCAGGTGCAGGTGCAGGAGGGTCCACCTCAGGGCCAAACTGATAGGATAATTCAATCAAGCTTTTCAGGGTGATTTCTAGGGGTTCACCAACAAACCATGCATGCACAGACCCAAGCCTTCTCTGGGGTTTCCTCCAAAGGCTGAGCATTCAAAGGGCTCGGTGTAGGCAGCGCTCCCTCCGCGTCGCCGGCGTCCAAGAGCTGGGTCTCCAACTGCAGTGTGTCATGAATTGAACTTCCAATGTTGATTGGGAAACGAGCTCATTGGAACAATTGTTTGATGGTTCTGTTTTTGTGCGCTACTTTTGACTGGAAATATTTGAGTGCTTAATTGGAATGAAAACATTGGGACCACGGATGAAATCAAACTCTTTGTTTCGACAACATATTGCATCCTTATGGATGGCATTGAAAGAGTTGCCTGCGAAGGATCAACCGCTGGCTTTGGCGCCGGCAAAGCTGCAAAAGAAGGACCTGAAGCTGCGCTCATGTCGGGAAACTACACCGGAAGGGTTCAGCAGGAAGCATCCAACCTTGATATGGAAACTAAAATAATTCAAGGTACATGGACTCCTCTTTGTAGGTCGGGCATCCGGTGTTGGTGTCGCAACCAGCGAATCCGTAGACCTGAGGAGCAAACAAGATGAGTTATATATATATATACACATGTGTGTGTGTACCTGCGTGCATATTGCATGTAGGGTCTCTGCATGGGAGGTTTCATTCTTTCCTAGTTCGGAAGTCCAGAAAACATAAAGAAGACTCAGGTAGTGGCTTAGTTCGGCTCACTTCCAGGCGATCAATCTGAGAGATCACCTCGTGAAGCTGTCTTTGCTGCTCCTCATCCATGGACTCCAAACCCAACCTCTCAAAATGCTCTTCCAAACCTGAAAGGACGGCTTCACTAGCAGGTGTGGCGGAAACAGGAGGTGAGGCTTCAGTCTTCGTTCCTGCTTTGGATTGGTGAGGTGCTTCACTGGTATCATCTGCTTCATATTCATCATCGTTCTCCACAGTCCGTGGCCACTCCTCCACTGCCCATTGATCCCACCGAGAAGAGTCCTTGGCCCACTTGCTACGAATGTCGTTGAGCTTGTCAAAAAGGGTCCTCACTCTGCGGTCCTGGAAAAAAGTTGAGGGAATTGGTTGGAGGTGGCAGCAGGTGCAACACAACAGCGGGTATACTTACAGCAAGCCTCACAACAACAGAAAGAAAACCGGTCCCTCGGACGCTGGCGACGTTTCTGACAGTCAAGAGCACGCCGGTAGGCAAAGGTGAAAAGTCTGCGAAGATCCCACGCATCCACATAGCTATCGGACTTGGGGTTCTTGGTCGAGTGACCCACCAACTTGTAGAGCTCTCGAACCTGCAGGCTTCAATTAAACAAATGCACTTTTCCTCAAGATGTCGAAGCCCGTGATTTGAGATAATTTAATTCCATTGAAGTTGAACATTGATTTTTTTCAGGCCTGTGATTGAAGATAGAGCACCTCTGCAAACTCTCCCTCGAAGTGGTCAGCCATGCACAGGAGTATGTCAGCATTCAGCTCTACGGATTTTGTGCAAACTGGGTGCCTCTCAACTTCATCGTCATCTTCTTTACCTTCATCACGTGTGACATAGTAAGGCCACTGAAGGAAAGAGATTCCCTTTCGGAACCTGCTTCTCACCACGGCACATGATTCCATCATGTGGGCGAGTTCAAAGTTCTCTGAAGAAGCCATGTCGCCAAGACGAACAAGGGCAGGGAAACGATAGCTATCACTTAAGTCGAGAACTGCGGCTTCAAAACCCCGAAGAATGTGACCAACCCAACCTTTATTATACGAGCAACTCAATGAGACCCTGCAGGACTCAAGCGTGGCAGTGGCACTTGAGCCAGACCAATGTGGATTCGGATCTTGCCATCTCCTCAGCGATCGGTGCCAAGCATGGCTTTAAACGACTTTATGTCATGAGATTCACGAGGCGTGTGCAAAAGGATAGTACTGGTCTTGCACACTTTAATGTTGTGTTCAAGATCCGGATCCTCAATGCATACAAAGGATAGCTAAGTAACGGGTAGTACAGGTCTTGCACGCTTTGACCTTTGTCGCGTTCAAGATTCAGGCCATCAATGGATACAGCATGAAGTGGCCATGGGGTCCTTCAACGAATATCAACGAATTGTGCACATCGGTATATCACTTCAAAAGCACACTGCAGAGAGTTCTGTCATACAACTCAAACGTGGCACATTGGACGTTCTGCTCCTTCAGCGTCTGAGGCCATTGGAGCCATGTGACGGCGCAAAGCAGCACAGACTTGTTCCCTTCAATGATTGCAACTAAGATACCGCTTAGGTTGTAATGTTTCCACTGACGGAAGTTTTAGTCCATGGACAAGTCTTGATGTCGGTTGGGAATTGGTTGGGAACTTGTGGGCAAGTCAACTGTGTCATGTTCTGCGTGTCACCTGTCACCTTACACTGAACAGCTCCAGGAAAAAAAAGCTTGGCCAGCGTAGGAGCCTATGGCATTGTTGAGCCATCTTGGAAAGTACACGCTTTTGAGTTAAAGTTCACGGTTTTATTCTCAATATAGCACACTCCGATTGAAATTGTCGCCACCATGCAAAGTGTACTAAAAAAAGTGTACACCCAGGCGTTCCAGGCTGTTTCTTTTGGTACTTGCACATGCCATTACATGCCATTACCATCCAGTTACCCCACTTCGTGGAAGGGCATAGAGGTCGGTGCGTTCCAACTCGGATCGCGAGTTGGCTGGGGGGGGGACTTGCGTCTTTTCTTTTTTCTGGTGTTCTTCTTCTTCTTCTTCACAGCTTTGTGGCGGACGCTTCAATCTGCCTAGCTGAGCACTCTGCCTGTACCCGATGGCCATTCTGCCTGCGGTCCTCCCTATTCAGAACAGAATGGTTCACCATGTGTCAGTTGCTTCTGTTGGCATGTTCTTCTCACCATCTTTCACGTCCCAGAGAGTCCTTCACGTGGGACCTGGAAGTCCTTCGCGTCCATGGTCGCAGCTTCACACCCATCCCTCGCGCCCAGGCAGTTGTTGGTGCAAAGCCAGCAGCTCTTGGTCCAGGGCCTCTTCGCGCTGATCCAACAGAAGCTCGGTGGTGAACAAAGACGGCCAAGGCGATCACCTTGGAGTGTGGAAGTGTGTGATTTCTTTGTTAAATTATATTGCTATTGTAATAGAGGGCCTCTCATGTTCTTTTTTTTCAGCCACCAGCTGGTTTGAAGAACCTTGTTAACGTACTTAATATACATGTTATATAACTTTATGTAAGTCACAAAAATTGGAGCCATGTTACTTCCTCCACTGGTGTTGCTTCAGGGATGGGCCGTTTGTGGCTTCATGTGGCTTCACATCGCTGCGACGAAGAGACGTCTCACTGTTAAAGAGTCCTGGTTTGTTCCCGCCGAAGGGAGGACACGGTCACAACTGTTTGAGGTCCAAAAACCCTGCAGTTTGTGTGGTTGACTTGACGAATGGCATGTGATATGATATGACGAGATGTTGTTATACATTCATGGATTCATGGTACATGTATAGATAGCGTAGATATGTATCAGATTGCATGCCCACATGCCCGTTCCAAGGCAGAATGTGCAGAACGCCAACCTGGAACGTGCCCTGAAAGCCTTGACCGCGCAGATGGGCGGAGAGGTGTCGGACCTTCCCGAGGTCAAGGCGCGGAACCAAGCCGAGCGTGAGCGAGACCCTGCAGAGGATTAATCACCCTCCCCTTCAAGGTCAACAAGAATTGAGATTGGAGGTCTTGGAGACCACATCCTGAATATGAAGGACCTTTCCCAGCACGTGTTGAACAACTCTGATTTCATGGCTCTGAGGCAGGGAAGGCCGGACATGTGCGTGGGAGCGCGTTCCTCACTCTCGGCTCGTGGCTCCAGGTGCCCAGTCCATTAGCTTCTTTGGAGGTGCCGGGTATAGCACTCGCAGCGGCACCAGAGGCGGGAGCTGTCCGGTGTAGCGTCGGGTGCGTCCAATGTCAGAGCGGCTCCAGTCGTACCTCCTGAGAAGGTATGAGTGGACCCTCTAAACCAACCCCAAGCACATTCTCACAAGGTACTTGGAGCACTGGAGATCTTGATTTGCCGCGTTCTGTGACAAATCAGTCTCCTCAGAAATCAATCATGCACTGTGGCTGAGTGGGCTAGCAGCTAATGCTGAATGCCATACCCCAGGGCCCTCCCAGTGCCCTTTTGAGATCCCAGAATCAGGTCTTGAAAAGGTCAATTACCAATCCTGTCACTGGGAAGGTCCTGGCCAGTTTAGAATGTTTAGAGTTTCTCTTTAAAGCTTGTCAGTCAGAAGAACCTGAGCTATTTCCCACATAAGTTGTCAACATCGGTGCTTCTCTCAGGCGGACAAGAGCATCAAGAAAGGAATGGCAGAAATACGGTATGGAACAGCCGTGGAACAAAAGGCGCGTGAACATGTTCCTTTTGTCTAATCAGCTTTCTTACCAGAAGTGCTACGAAATGATATTTCAAAGGTTTCTGGATTGAGCACAGGCGTTTGTAAGCTTGCTTTCATCCAGCCCTGGGTCGAAAAACTGAACGTGCGCAGGAACCGGAGAAGAAACCGGAGAAGCAAGAGGCAGCATCAGCAGAAAGTGCCAAAGTAGCCTCAGAAACCAAGGCTGGCACACCTATGTTTCGACAATATCGTTCGCGGTCCAATATGTGTTTGGCAGCTGTTTGATTGAAAGCGTTTGTTTGGCTCCCGTTCTTGCGGTGTTTTTTTGCGTTCGCACTCTGTTCACGTGCGCAGGCACCGGACAAGAAAGTGGAGAAGCAAGAGGCAGCAGCAGCAGAAAGCGCCGAAGAAGCCTCAGAGCCTGAGGCTGGTGCGAGCACACGAAGATATATCCATATATCTCCTCCGCCTCACTGACATGGAAGTGGAAACGGGCCCCTGGGAAGATGATTGTCCGCTATGGACAGGGTGGTTTCCTTTTCCATGCTAGTGAGTCGAAGTGTATACGTGAAAGATATATTTCCAGCACACAGTTTGCAGTCGAACGTTCAACAGCTGCCAGATTGAACGCATTTGTGTGGGAACCTATTTTCATTGTTTTTCTTACCCTTTTGTCTAGTATAGCCTGCCAGGAGCCAGAGAAGAATGCGACACCGGAGCCGGTGGAGGCCGCAGAAGGACGTGCTGAAGTGGTCGAAGCTGAGGCTGGAAGATGTGTCCAACTCGGTCCAACGTGTTTCCCTTAGGGCTGTCCCACATCCTCGGTAGTTGGCCCACGGCTGATAGACGGCCGTGGTCTTTTCTTGCATTTTTATGATTTTTCGTTTTCTACGCGGTGGTTTTTGCATGTTTGCTTGAGGGGGATGTGGATGCTACGTGTGGGAATGGGGTGGGGGGTGGGGTGGGGTGGGGTGGGGCATGTTAACGTTCGGTTGCGCTTGCTGCATGGGGTGGATGTTGTGTTCAGTTGCTGCGCCAAAGCTTGACCTATGGCACACCGGCTCAGTTCTTGCGCCGCTTGGAGGAGCTCTTGTGAAGATTGAGAAAGTCGCAACTTTTTTTCCGACGGCCCAATTAATTACGTAGTTTCGAAAATGTCGCCTCAGCGAAACTCTCATTTCAAGCAATCTGCTTGGAACTGCTTGGAATTGACCATGACTCCACTGATGAAACGTTGGGCACATCATTCCAATGGAATTACGCACATTTCGACATGATTAACCCACGACCATCATTGATTTACACCACGGCCGTCTATCCGCCGTGTACCAGTGTCCAATATGTGTTTGGCAGCTGTTTGACAGGTGTTTTTTTGCGTTCGCACTCTGTTCACGTGCGCAGGCACCGGACAAGAAAGTGGAGAAACAAGAGGCAGCAGCAGCAGAAAGCGCCGAAGAAGCCTCAGAGCCTGAGGCTGGTGCGAGCACACGAAGATATATCCATATATCTCCTCCGCCTCACTGACATGGAAGTGGAAACGGGCCCCTGGGAAGATGATTGTCCGCTATGGACAGGGTGGTTTCCTTTTTCCATGCTAGTGAGTCGAAGTGTATACGTGAAAAATATATTTCCAGCACACAGTTTGCAGTCGAACGTTCAACAGCTGCCAGATTGAACGCATTTGTGTGTGAACCTATTTTCATTGTTTTTCTTACCCTTTTGTCTAGTATAGCCTGCCAGGAGCCAGAGAAGAATGCGACACCGGAGCCGGTGGAGGCCGCAGAAGGACGTGCTGAAGTGGTCGAAGCTGAGGCTGGAAGATGTGTCCAACTCGGTCCAACGTGTTTCCCCTAGGGCTGTCCCACATCCTCGGTAGTTAGACTCCACAAATCCACCCCAAGCACCGAATCTGAGGGGTTTGTACTCCACTGTTTTGGGTCGTGCCCTAGGCTCGCCAGGCTGGCTAAGGCCTCTCGAAGAGGGCGATGGAGAGAGAGGGAGAGAGGGAGAGAGAGAGGGAACTCTCCTATGCTCTTGGCAAGGCCTACTGGCAGTTTCCACCAACATTGGAATGATGTATTGGACACGAGTATGATACAGTACTGACCTTTGGATGCCTGTGCAACCTGTGGATGTTACTTGCAAATGACCTCTGGGGTGTCCATCGTCCATGTTCGTGAGAAAGCAGCTGTCAGGATGCACCATGTTGTCCTAGACAACTAGAGGTCAATATGTGTGTTTGCTGAGAGGCTGAACTTGGGCAGAGCGTTCTAAATGTTGATTTTTGGAGGGTGTGATTTGGAAGGCACCAGTGAATTCTCAGAACTTGCCACCTCATGGTCACATCCAAGCCTGCCGTGTAACTCCAAGCAACCCAAAATTCTACCTAGAAAATATGCTGGCCCAAGTCCTCCTTGGAAGTACCGATGGGGATGGCAGCCTTGCGACTTCGCTCCAGGCGCATCAAACGACACCGACGCCGGAGGCGATGGAGGAGGAGAGGTCCAGGTGGTGGCGCGGTCGAGGTCCAAAGGCCCTCCCACCTCTCTTGAGAGTCCACCACTGCCGAGAGTCCACCACCGCGGGGGGGCTTGGGATCCGCGCGGCGCGCGCCACGCGGCGCGTGACGACGGTCGTCACTTCCTTCGGCGGACAGGAGATGGAAAGCTCCAAGGTGGTGCCCGCGAGCTGTGCTTGTTTGGACTCGGTGCGGTCTGCGGGGGGTAGATCGGTGTAGATAGGGAGAATTCCAGCAGAATGGGGACATATTTCATGATCACACAAAACAGCTGGAAGCAGCTTTGAAAAGGGTATGACTCTATGGCGTGGTTCCAGGTAAATACTGGGTTTTTGCTTGTTTTCCTGGTGTTCACCAGGCAGACCCGTAAAGAGACCCCTGGTAGGCAGACCAACAAGTGGGCCAGTCAGAGGATCCACTACTTGTTCCAAGTTGTCATTGACACCAGGATCACGACGGATCATCTAATTGAGGTTTATTGATGACCCCTTGGATGATCAAGACACGTGTTCTCCTTTTCTGGGTGGACATCACACACGTCTGCACACGTGCTTCGACCTCCACGACACGTCCGCACGGCTCCGGCTCAGCAGTGGCTCACGCTCGAAGGGCGACGAGTCTCGAGCGCGGCATTCCATATATTCCATGGCACGACGCTTCTTGAGGGCCACGCTGCGCGGTGAGGAGGACGGTCTCCACACCCATTCGGTGAGGAAAACGCCTTCGAAAATGATAGATGTTCCAGAGCCTTGGGGGAGTGCATGTTTAAGAAGGAGACGTTCGGAGACGTCGATTCTCCTTCTGACAGGAGGTCTCCCTATGTCTCCCTATGTTGATACACATCCAGCTGCTGCTTGAAGCTCGAGTTCGCAAAACCCCCAAGAACATCTGGCACGCTCCGCAGCCTTGGGATGGGAACAGGTGTTGCGTTGGCTGGAAAAAACCTAGACTTCTGATCACAGACCCGGATGATGATTCTTGTTGAGTCCCAGACTTCCACAGCTGCGTGTGAAGTTCAAAAAAAGAACACATCGTCACATTGGGGAGGAAGAGGGGTGAATGTACGCTAGGTTCCCAGCCATATCCTCACAAAGTGGTTAGACCCCCGAAGCCCATCCCCATCTCAGGTGGTCGTTAGAGCCCTATAGGGGTAGGTACATCTGCCAGTCCCATGAAGTGTTTTGGGAGCGCGCCACAGGAGCCTCCTGTGCGCCGCTCGCATTCACACCGGGAGGACCAGGTGCATTGTCGGCTCCGGACCGCGGGTCCGCAGGCGAATGGTGGCCCCATTTGGAATTGTCATCCACTGAGTATAGTACCAATGTTTGAAGTTAAGCCTTTCATGTAAGCCGTGTGGCTGGGGAGGGTCGCTCAGTGTAGATTCCTTTTGGATCGAAGGATAAATTCATATACTGTAAATTTACATGTTCAATTCGAGAATGTCCGCCAAGGCCTTGGTGTGATACAGTGATACATTAAAACAAGGTGATAATATGTGGTGAAGGCTTGCGAAGCCTGTGGCGTAATCTCTTGGATTTCACACAGGCAAAGCCAATTCGCGAAGACTACTCCCCTGCACATTTACATGGAACCACAAAACGTACTGGTTTTGTAGAGGAAAATGATCGGGTGAATTCTCAGGTTCTATGTTAGTGGACGCGGGCCAGACAAAGGTTACAGAGGTAACTAACAGGGACTTCGGCATCGATAATTGATGATCATTTGCCGATTTGGGTGGCTGAAGAAGGGTGCATGACTCAAGAATACTATAAGAACCCCAGAGCAGGTCTATTCGAATCGATCCGAATGGTGTGGACATGCATCATGCATCCAACTGCTTGATGCGTGGCCAGCCATCATTTGTCAGCCCCACCTGTAATTCCAAACCACTTGTAGATGACCCTTGTTCCACACAACCAACTCTAGCTTCGAACTAGCGCTTCCGTTTGGGGTGTCCAATGGAGGCCAAGTTCAGTTAGGCGAGTCCAAGATCCTACAGCCATATTTTTCCTGAAATTCAGACACGAGTCAGACATCCGCCAATCCATGCTTCAAAGAATTTCATGAAATTCAGGGCACCAGGAGTCACAAAAGGGTGGTTTTTAGTCCCTCAGTGAGTGGATAATGGGCACCCCTATCCTCCAAGTTCGGCATCCCGTCGAACGTGACTCCTGGTAACTGGTTCCTTTCCGAAGATCCACCAGTTAACTGTTGGACCCACCCATACTCCCGCACTGCTGATTGGAGGAGACCTTGAGCCAAAGCCCTTCCTTTGGGAGGTCGAAGTGGGGGGGGCTCAAGGGAGGGACGTTCATAGGACACTCCCAGCAGCTTTGGATCAAAACCTCCTCCTGACTCCTCACCCAGAAGCAGAAGATGCGTGGAAGACGCGTGGAAGACCCGGGGCGGAGGTTATTGAACACCGGGTTGGGAACACCGGTGTGCGCAGATGAAGGGAGTCCGCATCGAATGTCCCAACGGCGTGGTCGTGGTCTCCCGTCGTCTTCCCAGCAGATGTTCACACAATAGTACCTATTGGATCCACTGCCACCTTCTCAGAAGGTAATTGGACCTTCCAAGCCTACATAAATAGTCTCCAATCACCTTCTCAGAAGGTATGTGGATCGGTGTCAGACCGCGCTCCTCCGTCACGAGGAGCACGCTCCCTCCGGTGCTTCGCGCGTGCGACGACGTCCAACCCCGTAGCTCTTCTAGGAAGTCAGTTGAATGGAACAGTTCTTGCTGGCTAAAGAGCCTGCTTGTTCCTTGTTAGCGCTCAGGTGCATTTGCAATCCCCAAAAGATCCAGAATAGGATCGCTTCGCATGGACCAAAAGAACTCCTTGCTGAGTGGGGGTATGTATATAACCCCAGGCGACCTAAAGTGAAACTGGTTAAATCACGAAAGGTAGCCCTTTAGGGGATACCTTGAGTTTGTCTTGCGAAGCAAGTGTTGGGACGTCCGGGTCTAATAATTGATCGCTCAATTCAGACCCCCCCCCACCCCCCCACCCCCCTCGAATTGATTTTTCAATACAGACCCCCCCCCCCCTCTAAAATCAATTCTCTCCTGGAGATCGTCTTCGTGAGCCTCTCATGATTTCAGGATAGTTGAAACCCTCTTGAACATTCAGAAAGAGTGAATATGAAATTCTAATCACGAAAGGTGTTCTGTGAAGCGCGTCAATTCTCTCCTGGGGAGCGTCTTCGTGAGCCTCTTATGGTTTCAGGATAGTTCAAATCCTATGATGTTCCGATTCAATGCTCACCGATGATCTGAGCCATGGGGCAAGTTTGTTTTCCTAAGAATCTTTTTGAACATTTCGAGAGCACATGTTTGAACATTTAAAGTGCATATGAACATATATGTACGAAAGGTCGCCTCCGAGGGGATAAATCACCATGTCGAACATTGCATTTTTGTTCCTGCCTCTCGTGTTCTCTTCTCTTCCCGCTGTCCTACCTTTCGTGTCTCCCTCCTCTCAAGTAGTTATTAAATTAAAAATATTATATAATCCCCAATCAACTTCTTGGTTATTAATTGCGTTGATTGATTGGGGTATTTTGGGGGCCAGGTTGGGCCCCAAAAGAGCGGATCCTAGCAACTCTCGGGTCGCCCTGGTCACGGCAATAAACCTGCATGCCATGACTGGCAGACCTGGTCAAGATACCGAATCCGCACAACGGGCTTTTCCGGCGATTCGAACGCATCCATTGGTGGATGCTTGGGGGGCAGGATTTCTCCAAAGCGGGGGCGGTTTGATGGTCAACATGGCCCGCGTGACGGCGGTTCGCTGTTCGTGAGGCTAGACTTGCCAAGCCTTCGCCCCTCTCCACGGAAAGCCACTCCGAACCGTGTGCAGCTACCAGAGCACCTTGGATTTGGTCCAATGTCCACAAAAGACTGGAGGTGCGGAAATTCTTCAGCAGCTGAAGCAGGAATGAGTAACCAGCAGAAGCTGCAATCACTCAGCGTGAGTGAAATTGTTTGGAAGTTTGTTGCCACTTGGATGAGTTGGATTGGATGTGTTCTAACTGCACTAACAACTTTAACTGTAGAAGTTGGATTGGATGTGTTCTAACAACTTTATATAACTGTTTGAAGGTCAGACACCCAGGCTGGTTTATATTACATAATATACCCTAGGCTTCCAACAACCATTAATTTAATAGGCTTTACCGAATCAACTAAGGATTTTACACTACAAAAAACCAGGTCAACCATTGTTTTAATGGTCTTGGAAGTCTAGGGATAGTCACATTTTTTCAGTCAGAATTACCATTCAAAGCACGGCTTCAATTTCCTCCCAAAAGCCAAAGACTTCGTGACCTCTCGCCTAGCAGGATGCGGATTTGGCTTCAAAGGCTTCCAAACACCCCCCCGAAAAGCATTCAAAAACACAGCATTTCACTCCAACCACGAGTCTCACGCCGCCCTCACTACGTCTACGCCGGTACTGAGTCTCACGACGCCCTCACCGCGGGGTGCCAACGGTGAGACGCTGATGCCCACCTTGACCGCGCAAGAGCTCGAGAAGGCGCCCGCGCCGCGAGGACCGGATGCTCGCTCCGCACGTCGAGTCGCCGCGGCGGTTTTGTACTTCGACGCGTGCGTTCGAGTCGGCGCGTTCATTCTTCGGTCAGGGAGCTGCTGGTGTCCACCCAAAAGGAGAGAAACCATACAAAAGGTCCAAACATGTCGAACATCACTGGCCAGGCCATGTGTTGCAAAGGTCTTCAGAACCACAACCAAAGCTCAGAAGCAGCCACCCCGCGTCTTCAGGTCTTCTGCAGGCACATAGACCATTATAGACCCTAAAAAGTCAACATATGTCCCGGAGGAATCGATATACAGCAGGGGACCCGTGAGCATTTAGAATCGTAGGTGTTCATCCATCCTCAGTCTTCAAAGCTCCACCGCACGAGCGTCACTTCGTGTGGGACCGAAAGCATGCGGAAAGAGAATGACTTCAGGGCAGCAGGAAATAGAAACAAAAGGTCCCACAGAAGGAAACACAAGAACATCATCGGCATTCACATCACACAAGTGTACTCCTGTTGTTTGGGCATGTGGAACGTTGTCATGTTATTTGTCAAAGCATGCTAACACATGTCAAGCCCAGTGCTTGTTGCACTGCTTCTTCCCCATCTTTCCCCCATGCTTCTTCACCAAAATCGCTTGCCCCAACA